GTCATGTGAAGGAGTCGTAACAGTAAATTGATACAAATGCTCAATTAATGTAAGCAATATTGGGTTTTAAAAGCAGAACTTTTGAGATAACACGAGGTGACAAAGAGGTCTGACCGCAGTAATAGGATCAATCACTCACTAAATTTTAAAGCTCAATATGCAGGCTTTCTCGGAAAAAGATATTCACGGATATAGAGGACAACAGCCCTTCTAGAGCATCGGCCTGACAAATTTTATATAGCACAAAAATGTTGTCTGTTAATTAGTTATCTATGGTCCAGGAACAATTAATGGCTTAAGAAGAGAGTGAGGGAGAACATGAAGAGCCAGGGAGCAAGAGAATGAGTCTATCTCTCATTACATGAATCTTACATACACACTATAGACAATAACACATATGCAAACATGGGTCAACATTACACCATTTTAAGCTAGTTTATTTTAGTAAGAAAAGAGCTTCCGCCAAATCTAGTTCCGATTCGTGAATTAACTTCACTCATCTGGAAATATGTAGAGTAAGTTTAGGTTAGCCGACCAAATCATGGGATGTCTCATTAAGATCACAAGGTTAGGCTGTAAAAAAGTGACTAGGACTGCAGCCAGCCATCATTCGTCTTGGTTTGGTATAGTTTTGCGTAATTTCGTAATTTCTTGCTATGACGATGTCTGTCGTAGTACAGACGAAAGCTTAGCACAGGTTCATCGGGCTTGCAGGACAGTTAGTCGAGGCTTTATTCACACAATACAACAATTTTCACTGCACGGTTTCCGGAGAGACCCTTTCACAAATTCCTTCCAACCAACTTTACCCTCGAAATGGAAAGTTATGTCACAATAAATCATAAAGGAATTCTTTTAAACCCCGTTTTTCTTCATATGAGAAAGTCGTAACAGAGCGTTGATAGAAAGGCTCATTGAAAGTAGGCAATTTTGGGCCTTAGAACCGGAACTTTGAGGTAATACGAAGTGACGAAGAGAAGGCTTGACCGTATCGATGGGACTCAATTACTCATTAAATTGTAAATCTTAGTACATTATAGTCTTACTCGAGAAGAGATGTCGAAAAATGTTCAATGTCACAAAATGTTTATCCGTTAATTAGTTACCTACAGTCTGAGGTGGGCGTATGCAATAGAAACGCTAATCATCAAGCAATTTGGTTTATCCTACAAATTCCTGAAAAGAGTATGGTGCTACCTTCGCATGCATGGTGCTGGATCTCTGGTCCAGCTCTACGAGACCGGCATGGGCCGCACTCATAGTCGACTTCTGCGCAGCCTGCGACAAACTGGAGGCACCCGCCTGGAGTTCGGCGGCTGCCGACGGGGTTCCTCGAGTGCCAAGACCCCCGCCGCCAGTGGCCCGCACCAGGCCGACCGAGGCACGGCCCACGTCTCGGACGGCCTGGCGAAGCGCTTCAGACCGGCGCAAGTCGGGCAGGCAGGCGGCGGCCATCTTGCAAAGATGGCACAGCTCGCTGTAATCCTAGAACACGAGACAGAGAGCGAAGAGGCGAGAAGAAGCATTGTAGTTACGGTGGTGAAAGAGTGATAGACGGGTTTTCCCATAGTCAGATAACTTATTTAAATTGGTTATTACAACCTAAGCTGAACTAAAGTGTTGGCCTCGCCCGGGTCTCATCAGCACTTCCGTTAGGAAGCAAACATGATGCCACCACGTCGCATTACCACGGTTGCCAAGGGATAAGAGGAGAGATGTGAATTTTAGGGCTGGCC